ATATCCCATTTTGACCAAGAATTGAGTTAAGCGTTCGTACCAGGCACGAGGAGCCTGCTTAAGTCCGTACAACGCCTTTTTTAACCTGTACACATGATCAGGGTGATGTGGATCTACAAATCCTTCAGGTTGTTTAACATAAGCAACCTCTTTCAAGAAACCATTCAGAAACGCTGATTTAACATCCATTTGGTAAATCACAAAGCCAAGTAAACAAGCAATAGACAAGAACATCCTAACAGACTCCAGCCGGGCTACAGGGGCAAAAGTCTCATCAAAGTCGACACCCTCCTCTTGGGTGTACCCCTGAGCCACAAGACGGGCCTTATTCCTAGTAATCTCTCCTGATTCATCCGTCTTATTTTTAAAGATCCATTTTGTTCCTATGACGTTTGAATCTGAAGGTCTAGGGACAAGTTCCCACACATCATTTCTTACAAACTGTTCAAGTTCCTCATGCATAGCCTGAACCCAAAAATCATCACATAAAGCCTCTTTAGCATTTCTAGGTTCCAACTTAGATACGTAACATGCAAGTTGACATAAACCAGCCATCTTACGAAAGTCTGGTTTAACTCCTCTAGTATTACGTTCGGACAGACCTCCTATAATCTGATCCTTGGGATGATCTTTCTGAATCTTGGCAGGAGGATCTCGCCGTGATTCATCCAGATTTCCAGAGGATGTAGGAACCGCATATTCATTTGACTCCTCAGTTTTATCATGTTCAGGGGTTTCAGTCTTAACATCATTTAGCATATTCACAGATTCGGAACTTGACACCTTTTTACTGCTGGACACATCTAAGTTAATCACTTCAGGTATAACAGCACTTTCAAGACCATCATCAAAAACAACATTTATAGACTCCATAACTACCTCAGTACGAAGATTATACACACGAAAAGCACGACTATTAGCAGAGTACCCAAGAAACTGACCCTCATCACTTTTGGATTCAAACTTACCAAGATGTTCCCTATCATTATAGATATAGCACTTGCACCCAAAGATGTAAAAGTATTTCACATTTGGTGCCTTACCTTTCCACAGTTCATATGAAGTAACTCCAG